GCAACTGGACTTTCTGGTTTTTCTTTGAAGACGTTTCACTTTTCATCCAAGAAACTTCTTCAGAAAGTCCAATTACCTCTTGAAAAAGCATCTTTGGGACAACTATGACCTGGATGACTGAGAATCTCCATATACATTTAGTGATTTCACAGAGAAGCCCATAACGTTCTGATTGGCAAGCATGTTAAATTATGAGCTGGTTGGCAAGTCTGTTGGGTGGATCAACAGTTAATTTAAAAATGGCACTCAAAAAGTGTTTCCTTAACAAGTTGAAGGGAGGTATCAAGTTAGGTATCATAAAGTTCAGTTTTGACCCTGGTTTTCTTCAACATTTTTCTTAATGAAATGCTTGAGGATTTCAGATTTGTAGATGACACTGAATTGTATAGGATAGCTAATGCTGTTGGAGACAGAAAAAAAATCATCTTAATGGGTTAAAGAAATGGGCTAAAAAGTACAGAAAGAGATTTAATCAAGATATATGTGAAATATTTCAATCAGATAGAAATAAAATGCTCAGGTTAGGAAGGAGGACATCAAGCTTTAATAATAAATGGTATTGTCTCTCTTAGTTCATCTTGGCTCTTTGTTACAGACAAATTTGTATTGGCTTGTTGGTAATAGTATGGAACTAGTTTTCTATGTTAACCTATTCCAGGAATATTCTTTTTAAATGTTAGTCTAGTTTATATTCCTGGAAATTTCTGGTGATCTGCCATCCAGATAATAACCTGGTTCAATTCTGCTTAATTTTTCTGAGTTCAGCCAGCTAGGTGTTGCCATCTGTCTTGAATTATATATGGGGAGCTGAGATCTTGGAATTGTACCTGATTGCAAAGTAAATATGAGTTAGTGGTGTGACATATTTACTAAGAAGACAAATGCAGGTTTACATTACATTGATAAAATTGTAGCTTCCAAATCACAGGAAATAGTTTTGCATTAGTTGGACACCATGTTACATATTGCATCCAATTCTGGGCATGGCACTGGGCCCAGTTCTAGGTGTCACACAAAGAATCAGAAACTGGTTCTGAGAAGAGAAAGATGCTGAAGGGACTAGAAGTTAAATCTTACAAAGAGAGCTGAGGGCAATTGAGTATTTTAGATCAGGAGTCCCCAACACCCGGTCCATGGATTGGCAACAGGTTGCAGCATGCCAGAAACTGGGCTACACAAACAAGCAAAGCCCTACCCATGGGATACAGGCAGAATGCAAAATCACGCCCCATTTGGTCTGTAGAAAAAAATTCTCTCTAGGAAACCGGTCCCTGGTGCCCAAAAGTTTGGGGGTGGGGCGCTGTTTCAGATTTTAGAAAATATGACTGCAGGGTGGCACACAGAAGTTACAGAAAAGTAGATTTTGGCTGAATATTGGGAAAAGCTTTGCGGCAGGAAAAGTGCTTAGCTGCGCCAACTGTCATTGGAGATGTGAACTCTGCTTCTGGTATATTCAACCAGAATCTGGACAGCCATCTGCAGGGATTCTTTAGTTTGGATTCTTGCATTGAGCAGAGTTTTGAAAGGTCTAAATGGCTCCTTTCAATGCTGTGTTGATACGAAATGTATTGGGCTTTGAAGTACAGAACTCTTGATTCTGTTTGGATTTCAAGATTCCCAGAAATTTGCTACAAAGTGCATGAGAGACAACAAACAATAAGAACTCTGTTGATTTCAGTGGGGTTCTGGACTTTTATGAATTCTGCTGAGTGATTTGTTGCACTGTTTTCTTTATGCTTTCTTATGTGACCCTTTATATGACTGAGACTTAAAATATATGAAAAAGAATTATATTAATAAGATTAGTAACTTTTATATCCTGTAAAGAGCTATCCAAGCCTAACCCATTTAAGACAAGGTAAGCAACATACATGTCAAATATTAGATATAGTCCCTGTATTGGGGCAAATATGAAGGAATCTGAGGATAAAGAACATTAATACCTATCGTTTGTCATATTAAAACTACTTTCTGATTCCTTTGGAGATTTTTAGTCCTGCTTCCCACTGTATAAAAAATGGGCCTATTAAATCAGTTGTTCCCTTATATCATTGATTTCCAGATAGTGCCTGGGGAGTTTTCTGAATCTTTGGGCGGGAAGTTAATCTGATGTCTTAGTTGTTTTCTGAAATGGCTTTAGATAGGATTGCATCTGAATGACTTCTGTTGTGATTCTGTTAGACCCCTTGGGTTTTGGAGGAGTGTCAATAAATGAAGAGTCAGAAAAGATACATAGAGCTGGAGAAATAAGAAGAATGAGTCTAAGCATTTGCATGAGTTTATATTATGACCAACATGGTGGTGATAAGGGCAGCAAAATGTAATTATTTTCCCACTCCTATCATATTTGCAGAATGCCATCCAGTGCCCTCTTTTAAAAATCTGTTAACTTGTATGTGGCTGGAGAGCCATGATGAACATTAGAAGAGTTGTTGTGAGGAATCTGCTAGGCATCTGACACTTGAATTCATTCAATGGACTCTGGTTGGACATGTTCAACCATGGGAAACTGACTGAACAGGAGCTCTGCTCTATTATCTGGAGAGGAATTTCAACCTGTGAGTCTCAAGGAAGTGGACAGAGTCCTTCAGAATCTTAGCATTGCTATGTATTGGTCACTTGTTTCTTCTGTTTATCAAGACCTATCAAAGATAATCTGGACCTTTTTCAATAAGGCTTTTTTTTTTTTTGTATGGCTGAATATAATACTGACAGGGCACTGATTGCCCTTGTGGAATGTCTCTGTCAAGATTGAAATAGAAATAGTGCAACTTCCCTAGTCTGATCTGTCAGTGGCATTTAAAACCTTCAATCATAGTATTGTTATGGACAATCTCCAAGGAATGGAAATGAGGTTGTGATCGTTCTTCTCTTCCTTTGCACTGGTTCTAATCAGTGTTAGTAGGTGAGGAAACACCTAGTTTGAAACCTTTGCTGTATGTGGTTCCAAAGGGCTTAATACTTTTCCTGCTTCTATTCAACAGCTATATAACAGTGTTAGATGACATCCATCCATCAGCAAGTGATCAACCATCATTGGTATGTGGATGATATGCAACTTTACACTTTGATCCCTCGCCAAGCAGTTAGTGTTGGGGAGATCTATAAAGTGTCTGGAGTTTATAAAGGGTGGAATGGGATTGAATGGCTTTGGTTTCAAGAGCTTTCCAGTTACAGAAATTTAGTTCTTCCAGGTAAAATTTGGGAATTCTCATGGACCCTCAATTTATGTTCAGTGGACTAAGTGGCAGTTGCAGCCATGAACACTTTTCCAAAAATCCATTTTATGCACTAATTACATTCTTTCCTAGATAGGAAGTCCTTTTCATAGTCACCTCAAATTTGGACTATTGAAGTGCACTTTATCCTTTACCCTTGAAAATTACTGAAAGTGACAACTGGTACAGAATACAATCGTATGAGTAGTTATGGGAACTTCTGTTTTGTCCATTCAGCATGTTTGCTTTGTGAACTGAACTAGGCATCCTGGTTTTCCTAGTGCAATTGAAGGTGTTGGTTGTGTTTTAGACCTGCTTACCTATAGTGCATCTTTCTCCTGTTGTTTTTCCCTAACCACGAAGATTTAGTAAAGTGGCATGTTCCAGGTCCCAGCATTATAGGAGATGTACCTTCTCTGTAAATATACCTATCTTGTGGAACATTGTTCTCCCAAAATCTCCATAGCCCTAACCCTACTGTGATTTCATAAAATTCTGAAAACCTGGCTCTTTCTGAAGGCCTTGGAATAGAGTGAGTGATCTGTTCCCTAATTGTGTATTGATGTTATAGTTGTAGTTGACTTTGGTTTATCCTTTTTCCAACGTGTTAAAGTATTATTTTCTTGGTTCTAGTTTCCTTTTATTATTTTTGTTCTGCTATTTTAAATGCTAACATATTAATTGTCTATTCTAGTGATTGAAGCAGCATATTAGATAGATAGATAATAGATTTCTGCTGGAACTGTTTGTTTAATATATTTTATGGTTTTACTGCTTGGCAGTGTAGTGGATTGATCTGTCACTTATGTTGTACTACAATTTCTGACATCTTTAGTTAGCTGAGTCAGGAATACATACAATAAATGATACAACTAATTAGTGTTAGTTGGATTTTCTTTCATGCAGTGGTGAAATCTAAAATTTGTTACTACCGGTTCTGTGGGTGTGGCTTGGTGTGTGTGTGTGTGTAATATGACTGGATGGACGTGGCCAACTATTTTTTTTTTTTACTTTTAAAACCATTTTTTCTACAACCTCTTCAGCCGAAGAGATTGTAAAAAAATGCTTTTAAAAGCCTCTGACAATCCCAGCTGAGCAGCATGATCATCAGAGGCTTTTTTTTTAACTTTTAAAAGCATTTTTTCAGCTGAAGAGGTTGTGGAAAAAATGCTTTTAAAAATAATAAAAAAAAGCCTCTGATGATCGCGCAACTCAGCTGGGCATGGGGGCGGGGGGGGGGAAGTGCAGGAATTTTTGCTACCGGTTCTCTGAACCATCTGCCTCCATCGCTACCGGATTGGGCGATCCGGTCCAAACCGGGAGCATTTCACCCCTGCTTTGATGGCTTATTCGTTCTAGAGCCTAATTCCATTATGTTTTCAAAGTAATATTGTAGAAGAATGAAATAGATATATATAGGTATACTTTGCTGGAATATTAAATGGTTGTCTCTCTCCTAAAGTACAAGCCAGGTATATTTTGTTCATAAAAATAGAATGATTTTAGTTTTCTAAATTTGAATGAAACTCTTAAAAGTGTTAGATTTGTCAACAGTATGGAATAAATCTTAATTCTCAGAAAGTGTATGAAAATACCTATCTTATCTGATCTATACATTTCTTCAGTGTGGTTTTAGTGTGTGTGTGTAAACTATGCACTTTTATTATCTTCCAATCCTGCATTCAGAATTAATTATCAAAAAAGTTTGGTGATTCTGCTGTGATATTTGCATTTCCTTCTAGGCCAGTTTTCTCAATTCCATATGTTCTTATTTTTAAATAGATTGTAAACACTTGTGAAGAAAGAGTCTCTTCTAAGTGACGACGTCATGCTTTCTGCAACTCCCCTGTATGGCAATGTTCATAGCTGGATGAGCAGTGAGAGGGTCCGCATGTGTGGAATTAATGAAGAAAGGTAAATATTTATGTATCAGAAATCTTAAACTATACCATTATTACTGGAGATTTTCTATTACCATAGTAGAGAACATTGCATTCATCTGCCCATTTTACAAATAAAAGTTTTCAGAGTAAGTTTTATGGGAAACTTGATAAAATGATTTGTATTCAATATTACAACATTGTTTTGTTGAGCGTATTTCCTCAATGGTTTTCTGATTGGAAGTGTACATAGTAACTGATTCTCTTTTTGACACCCCACTTTTTTTTCTTTCTGAAACCCACTTTATTAACGCTCTGAAGTGACATGACAAACAATTATTACCTGATGTCTCTCCTAGAGGTTATGCTAAAGCCTATAGACTGCTAACCTTGCTGAAGATATATAGCATTTTTCTTTTTAGTTTAAAGTGATACGGAAAGAAAGAAAGAAAAAAGAAAGAAAGAGAAAGAAAGAAAGAAAGAAAGAAAGAAAGAAAGAAAAATAAATGACAAAACATGGCAGATGAGGACTTTTGGCATTATGTTATCAAGGCACTAGTAAAAGGATACATATAAAAAATTATTAAAGTGTTTGGCCAGCTGTGTTTTGCTACACTATTTGATCAAAACTATAAAAAATATGGGTGCTGCTTTATCTTATATATTGATTGTGTCACTTTAAATATCATAGATTAGAATTGTCTCTTCTGGGTAATGATGAAACTTTCCTTCTGCTATATGTCAGCAATTGTGTCCCTGGGATTTGAAAGTTGGCACCAAGGAGCTTTTTTATTGGCATTTTCTATAATAACAAGTCCCTGGGTCGCAGCACTGCCGAGGCACAGATGTGTGGCTTCCTCTTTGTCACTAAACAGTCATTTTTTTGTATGATATTAGGAGGGTGTGATAATTTTTTACTTCATTTTAAAAAAAAGATAAACCAATCTGGAATGTTAACTAGGAAGGTTATAGAGCCGAGGTTGCGCAGTGGTTAGAGTGCAGTACTGCAGGCTACTTCAGCTGACTGCTAGCTGCAGTTCGGCAGTTAAAATCTCACCGGCTCAAGGTTGACTCAGCCTTCTATCCTTCCGAGGTCGGTAAAATGAGGACCCAGATTGTTGGGGGCAATATGCTGACTCTGTAAACTGCTTAGAGAGGGCTATAAAAGCACTATGAAGCAGTATATAAATCTAAGTGCTACTGCTATTATTGTATGTCTCTAAAGAAACACTACACTTCATTTTATAGAAAAAAACTTTTGAAACTGAATGAATGCCTATAGATGTTATTCTCATGCTCCTTTATACTCCACTCCACTCTTTTGCCTACAATCCGGAATACTGTGTATCTATAATATTCACAAATGCATATTAATGTACAGTTGAATAGGAAACTGTACATTATTCATTTGTGATCTTGTTCAGGAGGGGGGTGCGGACCTGGCAGGTATTACGGAGACCTGGTTGGGCCAGGAGGGGGGTTCCCCTCATTGAAATGTGCCCACCAGGTTTCCAAGCATTCCATCAGCCGAGGTCACAGGGGAAGGGCGGGGGGGGGGTAGCGGTTATTATTAAAGAAGGTCTGAGACCGAGAGAGGCCACTGTTCCACAGACGGCCGGCTGTGAATCCCTCCTTGTGAAATGGGGTCATGGGTTTCAGATGGATTTGCTGATCACATACCTGGCTCCCTGCCACGTGGCAACAGCCCTGCCCCAGCTATTCAACATCATCGCCGCGGTGGCGGTTGACACCCCCAGGCTTATGGTCATGGGGGATTTCAACCTGCTGTCTGTGGGTGAGACGTCTGAGGTGGCTCGGGAGTTCATGGCTTCCATGACAGCTATGGACCTGACCCAGTTAATTCATGGCCCTACCCACATGGTGGGAAACACGCTAGATCTGGTTTTTGTCTCTGGACAGTGGTTGAGTGATCTTGAGATAGGGGATATAGTCACCGAGCCCTTGTCATGGTCAGATCACTCTCTCCTTCGTCTCGACCTTCGAACCGCTGCACCCCGCCGCAGGAAGGCGGAACCGGTAAGATGGTTCCGCCCCAGGCACCTGATGGAACCTGATAGGTTCCAGATGGAGCTTGGGCCATTTCCTGAGGCTCTGGCACACGCCTCAACTGGAGACCTAGTGGCCGCCTGGGATAGGGTGGCCACTGGAGCTCTGGATCGGGTTGTGCCTTTGCGGCCTCTGACCCGGCGCCGATCTCAATTGGCTCCTTGGTTCTCCGAGGAGCTGAGGGAGTTCAAGCGCTGGAAAAGATGCCTAGACAGTAGATGGAGGGCCAGTCTTTCTGAATCTGACCGGACACTAGTAATATCCCATATTAGGAATTACCTAGTGGCGATAAAAGTAGCGAAATGTAGTTATTTTGCTGCTCTTATTGCATCATCAGATAACCGCCTGGCCGCCCTCTTTAGGGTGACCCACTCCCTGCTCCACCAGGAAGCGCGGGAGGACCCCTTGGAGGGTAGAGCCAAGGATTTTGTCCAGTATCTGTATGACAAAATCACTCAGATTCGGGAAGATCTGGACTCCGACTGGGTAGTCTCAGGGGGAGGGACTGGGGCAGGTCTTGAGAATGTTATCTGGGATGAGTTTGATCCTGTGACCCTTGAGGACGTGGACAGGATTCTGGGCAGACTGAACGTGACCACTTGTTTATTGGACCCGTGTCCTTCTTGGTTAGTGCTGGCTTCCTGGGAAGTGACACAAGGCTGGCTCCAGGGGATTATAAATGCTTCGTTGGGTGAGGGTGACTTTCCCACTGCCTTGAAAGAGGCGGTGGTGAGGCCTCTCCTCAAGAAGCCTTCCCTGGACCCGGCAATGTTGGTAAACTATCGTCCGATCTCCAACCTTCGTTTTGTGGCGAAGGTGGTTGAGAGTGTGGTTGCACAACAGCTCCCCCAGCACCTGGATGAAACGACGTATTTGGATCCGTTCCAGTCGGGCTTCAGGCCCGGGTACAGCACGGAAACGGCATTGGTCGTGTTGGTAGATGATCTCTGGAGGGCTAGGGACAGGGGGTGCTCCTCTGTCCTGGTCCTGTTAGATCTCTCAGCAGCTTTTGATACCATCGACCATGGTATCATGCTGCACTGGTTGGAAGAGTTAGGGGTAGGAGGCACTGTGGCAGTGGTTCTCCTCGTTTCTCTCTGACTGGTCACAGTCTGTGTTGACAGGGGGGCAGAAGTCGACCCCGAGGCCCCTCATATGTGGGGTGCTGCAAGGGTCGGTCCTCTCGCCCCTCCTGTTCAACATTTATGTGAAGCCGCTGGGCGAGATCATCTGTGGTTTCGGGGTGAAGTACCACCAGTATGCTGATGACACCCAGCTGTACATCTCCACCCCAGACCACCCCAACAATACCCTTGAAGTGATGTCCCGGTGCCTGGAGGCCGTGCAGATCTGGATGGGGAGAAATAGGCTCAGGTTCAACCTATCCAAGACTGAGTGGCTGTGGTTTCCGGCGTCCCGATATAGTCAGTTGGTGCCATCACTGACTATTGGGGGCGAATCATTGGCCCCCACGGAGAGGGCGCGCAACTTGGGCATCCTCCTGGATTCACGGCTGTCTTTAGAAGAGCACTTGACCACTTGACCACCGGGAGGATTTTTCATCAGGTTCGCCTGATTCGCCAGTTGCGTCCCTTTCTAAATCGGGACTCCTTACGCACGGTCACTCATGCCCTCGTCACCTCCCGCCTGGACTATTGTAATGCTCTCTACATGGGGCTCCCCTTGAGGAGCATCCGGAGGCTCCAACTGGCGCAGAGTGCGGCCGCGCAGGTGGTAATGGAAGCGACGTGGAGTTCCCATGTAACACCCCTCCTGCGCGAGCTGCACTGGCTCCCGGTGGTCTTCCAGGTGTGCTTCAAGGTTTTGGTTACCACCTTTAAAGCGCTCCATGGCTCAGGACCTGGGTACTTGCAGGACCGCCTACTACCACTAATAGTCTCCCACCGGCCGGTACACTCTCATAGAGAGGGGCTCCTCCGGGTGCCGTCGGCCAAACAACGTTGACTGGCGGCCCCCAGGGGGAGACCCTTCTCTGTGGGGGCACCTACTATCTGGAACGAGCTCCCCCCGGAGATACGGAGGATCCTGGATCTGCGCACCTTCCGCCGCGCTCTAAAGACCTTTTTATTTCACCAGGCGGGCCTGGCCTAACTTTCTTCCTCTTTTTAACAATTTTAATATTTTAATATTTCTAATATCTTTTAATCTTCAAAGTTTAAATTTGTTTTAAATTGATTGGGGTTTTAATCTTTGTCTGGGGTTTTAATCTTTGTCTGGGCCAAACTATTTAATTTGATTTTATTTCTGTTTTTTAAATTTTGTATGTATGTATTTTATTGTTGGCTGTTCACCGCCCTGAGTCCTTCGGGAGTAGGGTGGTATACAAATCAAATAAAAGAAAGGAAAAAAGAAAGTTAAAAGTAGTCATATCAGGATATAGATTTCATAATTTTATTTCTAAACCTGTTTTTAAAAATTCCTTTAAAACAGGAAAATCCCTGTAAATGATGGAGATGTCTTGAAAAGCAGGCTGGAATTAAGAGAAGAAAATCACCTGAACCACAGTGTGGTAAGAAACAGATAATACAGATTAAAGATACAATTGTTGTTAACCTGTTATATATTGTTTCATTTACAAATAATTAAGTGCAGTTGGAGGTGATGAAACATTTAGTTCACTACTGTTCAGATGTGGTATTTAGACATTAAGATCTCTCTTTTTTGTGGCATGAATAAGGCTTCATGGTAAAATTTTCCCATGCTATATTTTGTTTAGAATGAATCCTAAGGCCTCTTATTCTATGATATACCTAGTTCCTAAGGAGTTCAGTAGTTCCAAATAATACTACAATTACCCATCCCACACTTAGGAATTCTGTGATTGATAATTGTACAAGTTTGGATATGAACTCTTACTATAGTCTAAGTGTCTTGAAAGTGCTAGCTTCCTCTTCCTCAAGGAAAAACAACAACAGTCCAGTCTTTTGAAGAAGCACCTTTGACACAACTATGACCTGGATGACTGAGAATCTCCACAGATAACAGGTTACATCCTATTAGGAATCAGTAGGCTTTGAAGTTACAATTGTATGCTACTTTATACTTATTTACTTAGGGTAAATCCTATTGAGTTCATGGGACTTTTTGTTAAGTATTTGTATACAGTTGGAATCTATTCTAATTGGTAAGGAGAATTTTTAAAAGTATTATTTGGATATTTTTTCTCATTTGTTACTTTAGATACATTGATATTTATACCAGTGCATTGACACTTGTTCTATAATGATCCCCCTAAAACGGACCATAGATAATAAAGATAGGACTATTGAAATCTATTTCTTTTTATGAATGTGTCATTTCAGTAGGAAAAAGTTTGAGAGATTATTGTTTAAAGGTAGTATCTACATAGATGTTTGCTAAGTAGTAAAGGATCTAGATGCCTGTCAAGTTATTCTGAATTTTAAAAAAAAAATCAAACTTAGTTGACAAAAGACAGACTTCTTTCACTCCTGTGTGAAACATTTTACAATTTTTAAATGGTTAAATTTCTTTACATTTATTAATGTATATTGTTTTAATGATAGAAAGCCTATTGTTTCCATTGATTAAAAATACCAACTGTAGTCTTGATTATCATTTTCATTAGATGCCAAAATAACATCATTTTTTATTTTTCAAAGGTGGATACAACGGCTGTGCATCACATTGACAGCCTTGCAGCTCTGACTATGGATCGTTCTGGACTTATGCGGGAAGGACTTAGAGTCCCCAGTAGTATTGTCTATTCCAATTTATGTGGACTTGGCTCAGACAAGACCCGGGATGCTACAAGTGCTATTGCTGGCCTTGGATTTGGTCCTGAAAGGAACTCAGAGATACAGTTCAAGTCTAATCCCACTGAAGCAATTGAAAATGGAGCTGGAAAGAACCCAAATGGCTTCAGTGCTCTTTACAAAACACCACCTGGAATACAAAAGAGTTCTGTTCCAACTGGGGAGACCTTAGGCTTGGACAGAAGCTCAAGTGATAAACAAAGTCCTCTCAGCGTCAATGGTGCTAGTTACCTAAGGCTACCCTGGGTAAATCCTTATATGGAGGGTGCTATTTATCCTTTTCTTGACTCACCAAATAAGTATTCATTGAATATGTATAAGGCTTTGCTACCTCAGCAGTCCAATTTTAGCTTGCCACAGCATGTGACTTATTCGCCTGTATGTACAAATGGTGAACGTTTTTTATACTTGCCACCTTCTCACTATGTTGCTCCCCACATTCCATCATCATTAGCTTCACCGATGAGGATTTCGGCTACATCAGCATCCCCTGCAATTCCCCCTTTGGGACACTGTCCAGATAAAGGCTTATCTTGGAAGATGGGAGTGAGTCCAGCAAATCCCATAGATTCTCATACCTATCCACATATTCAGAATAGTAAACCACCCAGAGTTCCCTCTGGTAAACCAGCTGCTAATAATATGCCAACTGATCCTTCTATTTTGCTGTCACATTCTCCAAGGCCATCACCTAGAATGCATCTCCCAACACAGGTTGGAGATACTTACTCAGAGTTCCATAAACACTTTTCCAGAATTTCAACTTCTCCTTCTTCAATTGCCCTCCCCAAGCCATACATGAATGTAAGCAGTGAATTTTCTTCCAGAGTCTCAAATGGGAAAGCTCCCAAAACACATGATCCAAATGAAATTTCTCAGCAACCTGCAGTGCATGCAAGGAAAACAGGCCATGACCGGAAAGATAGCAGGTCCCCTCCGTTATTAGAAAAGCAGCAAACTATTACCAAAGATATCATTGACAAACCCCTGGATTTGTCATCAAAAGTTGTTGATGCAGAAATAACCAAGTCTGATAATGTTAAGAAAATGGTACCAACTGTGTTAGTTCATAGCAGGCCTGGAGGAGGATTGGTTTTACCTGGAGGTGATCTTCCAAAAGAAACTATTTCTCCTGGAAATATCTACAGACCTGAGATAATTAGCACTGCACCTTCCTCCTGGGTGGTTCCTGGTCCAGCTTCTAATGAAGAGAATGGTGGCAAAAACATTCTGTTGAAAAACAAAAACCCTGGCTGGGTAACACCTCAACAACGAAGTTCTTCTTGCCCTAGGATGGGAGGCATGGAAACAGTAATTAATAATACTTCAGGATCTTTGTCAACTGAAGGTCGCCCAGCATCTGCTTCTCCAGCTCCAAATGCTAATGTAGATTGTCCCAAAACTAACATTTCTGTAGAAACCACTGCATCTGTCATACAGCATATAGGACAACCTTCAGTATCATTATCATTATCATCGTCATTGTCACTGTCATCATCACCACCATCAAAGCATAGTAATAAGGCAGCTAAATGCAATAACCAAGAACCTATGTTCAAAGCAAATGAAAACACTCTTGCTCCAGGTTCCATATTTTTTTCTTCAAATGACGCATTCCGATCTCCACCACTGCCCTATCCAAGAAGCTATCTCCCATATCCAATTCCAGATGGTTTAGCATTAGGTCCTTTGTCTCTACATGGAAAAGGACCTGTGTATCCTCATCCGGTTTTGTTACCTAGTGGCAGTCTTTTCTCTGGGCATTTGGCTCCTAAACCTACTATTCCATACAGTTTACCAACTAGCAGTGGTGACTTTGTGACATATCAAGATGCACTGGGTATGGGAATGGTGCATCCAATGTTGTTATCCCATGCAGCTCTTGAGCTAAAAGATGATAAATCAGAAAGGAGATCTAGATCACATGAGAGGCTCCATTATGAAGACCCTGCTCTAAGAAACAGATTGCCAGAGATGCTAGAAACCAGCACAAAGTTACACTTTGAAATACCCACAGAGAGAAATGTGAAATCACACCAAAGTTCAAGTCATAATAAAAATAGTACCAAAAGTGATAAACTTATGTTTGCAGAATTGAGAGATGAGCAAGATGCAAAAGGTAAAACTGGTCTGACAAATCCGAATTTTCCTATTGAAAATAGTAATCAAACAAATGACCCTACAAAGCACAAGGTGGAAGAAGCCTTTCAGCATAGAGATTTTATTGTAATGAGAGAAGAATGTGGGAGAAATAATTTCCATGAAGTGTACAACTTTAAGCAAGTTCAGAATCCACACCCATCAATCTTCAACTTAAGGAAAGATGATTTCTCAGCAAGCTATAATAGAGAGAGATTGACTATTCCCCCTTCTGTGTTCCTGGAGACTGCTCATGGGAATGATGACTTGGCTATGTCTTTTTGTAAAATGCCAGATGATGCCAAACAGCTTTGTATGGGAAATGCACAGTCAAGTGTTGAAATCAATCAGACATATGCCAAAGATGGGATTGAGGGTATGGAATCTAATGATGGCAAACTCTTGAAACCTAAGCCATCTAAGCTGGCAAAGAGAATAGCAAACTCTGCTGGTTATGTAGGTGACCGATTCAAGTGTGTTACAACTGAACTGTATGCAGATTCTAGTCAACTGAGTCGAGAACAACGGGCCTTGCAGGTGAGTCTCTGGGGATAACTTACCAAAAACAATATTTGCTTTATAAAATTGCAGTTGAGAATGAAAATTGATGTTTTGCGGGTTGGGAGAATGTATGTATATATTACAAATTTAAGTCTGTTGACAAAATTAATGATAAATTTGCATATATGAGGGTACTGCTATGAGATGAGAGGAAGTTAAACATTAATAGATACAAATCAAATGTAAATAATAAGTAATTTAATCTCAAGAAGTATATAATAATGAAGAACTGAAAAATGTGTGTTTCTTATTTGCATAGGTAGTTTTTTATAGCTTGCTAGCTTGTTTGGCCAGCATTGTACAATAATGGCAAAGGTTCTAATTGATATTCTAAATGTGGCATTTGATAAAGGAGCTGCGTTTTAGTAAATTAATGCAACTTCTTTACTACGCAAAAACAGCATAGAAGAATAAAAGCTGTAATGAATTTAATGTTGAATAATAGCAAATATTGTAGGTTAAGTTTACAATTTATGACAAGATGAGTTAAGCCAAATTGTTTGCATTGTTAAGAAAAGAATTGGTTGATGCTTATAAAAATGGATGAAATTATCCAAATGATCCATTGAGTGCCCATTTTAATTACATAGATGGAAGGATTACAAGAGGACAGTATTTTATGTCTACCTGCTGCTTACTGTGAGGTCAGTTCTTCAAATTTTTATTATTAGACTCTTAAAAGTTTGAGTTAAAATTTCATTTCAAAACACACAAAGGGAAGTTGTGGGCCATGATCGTCTTTACTCATTGTTCTTTTTTTCTTTTTTGCTTGTTATATTTCTCAAAATGTGTGTTTGCTTGCCTATATTATACACAAACACCTCCATAGCATCTCTCTATATGTATATGTATAAATACAGTATCATTAGTATACTGAGATTTTAAAATTTTGTAATTATACATAGCTCAAATAATTGTATGCATCTCAATTTTTATGCATTACATATTTCATTTTGAATGTACTTTCATTTGAATGTACTTTCATTTGAATGTACTTTCATTTAAGGTAAGGTAAATAAAGTAGCTCTTATTGTGAGTCTTTTTTCATATTGTTTCTCTTTCTAGCGTGCAATGATGCGCTTCTCAGAGTTGGAGATGAAAGAGAGAGAAGGCCATGTAGCAACCAAAGACTCAGAGATCTGCCGATTCAACCAAGCAGAGTGGGAAAACTTGAAAGGAAATAATGAGAAAAAGCCTAACTCTGTCCCTTCGGAAGATGTCATTGCTGGGCCAAATGACAAAAGCAGATGTAAGCATACATTAGTTTTAGGAGATGTGTGGAGAACTAATTTATCTGCTGAAAAGGGAGATGTTCTAATTTGAACAGTTGGGGAAGTTAGTATATATATAACTTTTTTATTTGGTACAGTTGAATATCTGAACTGATAGGAAATACAATTACAGTTTATTTCCTTAACTTTTTGATATGTTGCTTATGATTCATATACTCCCCTACCAATTAAAAAAAATATTTTGAAGCACTGTTAATATAACATAAAGAGACCTCTGTCTGGGTAATGTCAGTGAATTTCTTCTTTGAAAAGATTTTGCTGTTCCAGAAGCTGCTATGTTTCTAGTTCTTTTCTGTCTGCGTCTCTTGTCATGGCTGCCTTCGGTTTCAGCTAAGTTTTCTGTGAGTGTAGAAAACACAAAGGTATTTGTAAATTAAAAGAAAAGCAGCTACTTTTTCCCCCTCTCATGCATTTGAGCAGGCCATTACAAGTGACAGGATTGAGTGAAGAACTAGCCCCTATCAAACGTAGCAAAGTTCAAACAATAAGGATATTGTTTCTCTTTGAATAAAAGGCAATCATGGCATAAGTTTAAGATACATATAATCCATATCAGTTGACTGAAATGTGTATTTGGTCAAGGAATATTTGGAAATAATTCTAAGAAGCAATGCATGCATGAAGAAACATGGTGGAATGGGGTTATCCAGTTAATTTTACTGTATTACGTATTTTCTTCTGGAACTTAACGGCTTTGTTTCTGGAAAATGTAGTTATCAAATATATGTTCAGACTGATCCTATGACCTGAAACCTTAAAATTACCCAGAAAGTAAAAATGATCAAAATAAACAATCACACACCCATTTCCACTTATTCCTTGATACCAAATCTTATTTTGAATGCTATATAGGATAAAAAGTACCAAATTATTGAGGGATATGTATATAATGTCTTGGAATAAAAGTGAACATTAAGCATCTTGGACTGAGTAAAAATGCACATATAGGTCTTGTCAGTTTCCATGTTTTGGGGTTGTATGCAAAGGTTACCATGAATTGATAGGAATGGAACATCATTTTTCTAAATGGTAAAACCTTAAAATACAGTCTTTTAAATGATACATCTGTACAGAGATCAAATAAGAGTTAAGAAGGAGTTAAAGTGCTAACTATACCATTTGTTTCATAGAAAAAGAAGTTGCAAAGATTTGCAGACATTATCTTGGGGCTATTTCTTACTGCCGTTATTATGACTTGGAAATAAAAAACAAAAAATAGCTTTATCTTAAAATACATATTTATTTCTCAGACCGTATGCCATAAGTTTTTGTTTAAAAGCTTTATAGGTGATGTACATAAAACTTCTTGTTCCCAGTATCCCAATAACAAGTATGAGTTGCTGCTGTAAAACTACTCAGTTTAAAACTTACCTTTTCTAAAATAGCCTCTCTCCTGAAGTTTCTAAATTTCTGAAAGATTACAGTCTTAAAACATTTGCCACAGACCATACACTTCAGAGCGTGATTATCCAACCTTTTGGTTTGCTTGGGCTGCATTGAGTGAAGGGGAATTGTCTTAGGCTGCAGATGAAATATATGATATAGTTAATGTATATAAATAATAAACTCCTTTTATTTTTTATATTTTCTATTACCTTGTAGGGCCACATTACTAGCAGCGCAAGGCCACATGCGGCCTATGGGCCATGGGTTGGACATGCCTGCTTTAGAGTAAATAGTAATAGCCTTTACACTTATAAACTGCTTCACAATGCTTTACAGCCCTCTCGAAGTGGTTTACAGAGTCAGCAAGCATATTGCCCCCACCAATCTGGGTCCTCATTTTACTGACCTCGGAAGGCTGAGTCAACTTTGAGTTTAGGATTATACTTGACAAGTCTGCTTTGCAAACAACCATTTTAGTGGGATGCTGAAAAAAATAAGGCATGTTACAAAAAGAGGAACAAGTTAAGTTAATAATAAGATGGATGAGATAAATTAAAGGAAGAATGTGGGAGATGGAACAAACAAGACAGGAGGCAGAAATAGAAAAAGAGAGTATTTTTTTTAAAAAAATCACACCTGGAATCACAAAATGTAAAAAAGAAATATGAACCTAAGAGAAGTGCCTAATTTTTCTTCCCTAGATGAAGAGAGGAAAGGGGGAAATAAAATTGTAGTTTCAAGGTTCATCTTTGTATTTTTCTCATATAGAATTTGGTTTGTTTAGATCCATTTCTGCAATATGAAATATCTGATATGGCAAAGTGAATTTTGCTATATTGTATATAGTATTGCATTTAAGGTTTAGGGCAATGTTAAGGATACAAAATATCAAACTAATTTTCATGGCCTTGTATGTCTGCCATAGTTGAGTAAAATAATAAAAGTTGTTACTATTATTAGATTTTTATCCTGTTTTATTTATATATAAATCAAGGTGGCAAACATTTCTAATATTCCTGCCTCCTGTTTTTCCTATAACAACACTATGATGTTGGTTGGGCTGAGAGAGAAGGACTGGAAAAATTCTGGAAGAAAGATAGTAATGACATAGAGGTGCTGAAGTACACATGGAATTGTATTGCACTTTTAAAATATTTTAGTTACTCAATGAATACAGTTGTATGAATATTACCATAATTCAGAGAATTGTAGACTGACAAAATATAGAGCTAAAGTCAAAATACCTTTCTCCAGTCTCCTTGCCTTGCTCTCTTCATTGGTAAACTAATGGCTAGATATTAAATAAAAGAAAACAAGGTATGCAATTTCCTAACCCTCTCAGTGGGAAAAGAGCTGCATAGTATGGGAGTAGTGGGAAGAGTTAGTGCATAACAGAAGAGACTGCTAGGTCACATTCTGTCCACAGACCATCTCCATTCCTGATCTAGATTACACTTAAGAAAAAGGATGCTGAGCTTTTTTCAACCCAAGGACTATGTTGTATATTTGAAGGATGGGATGGGATGGGGACTGCACTGAAAAAATACTGACTGGGGTTAGAGCACAGGTGAAATGCTCCCGGTTCGAACCTGATCGCCCAATCTGGTAGCGATGGCGGTGGGTGGTTTGGAGAACCAGTAGCAAAAATCTCTGCCTCCCCACCCCCCATGCCTAGCTGAGCTGCGCAATCATCAGAGGCTGTTTTTTTACTTATAAAAGCATTTTTTCTACAACCTCTTTGGCCGAAAAAATAAAATAAAAATTTTAAAAAAAGCCTCTGATGATCGCGCAGCTCAGCTGGGTATGTCAGAGGCTTTTAAAATTTTTCTACAACCTCTTCGAAAAAAGTGCTTTTAAAAGCCTCTGATGATCCCAGCTGAGTTGCCTGATTGTCAGAGGCTTTTAAAAGCATTTTTTTCTGCAACCTCTTCGGCCGAAGTGGTTGTAGAAAAAATGCTTTTAAAAGTAAAAAAAACAAACAAACTTCACTACACCCACCCAGTCACATTAACCCCCCCCCCCCCCACCACCAAGCCATGCACACAGAACCAGTAGTAACAAATTTTACATTTCACCACTGGGTTAGAGCAAAACTACAGTTGATTTTATTTGCATATGAATTTATTTCATATAAAATATAATGAATAACTTGCCAGTTGTATATTATCTTGCCAGTTGTGTATTTAATAATTTCCTCCTCCAGTATTGCATTATAGATTTCAATTTGGTAGCAAGGGTTAAGAGCCATATCTAAGGTTTGGAGGACTTTACTCAAAATCTTTGCATGCTGCCTGGAACGTCAGATTATGGATCTATTTTATAAATTACATTTTTTCAGACTGCATTTTTATTACAGGCAGACAATATTGTTGTAGCCACTTCTTTTCCTTGTGAAATAATAGTTTCGTGAAGTGTTAGTAAAGTTTTTATAAACTTGGTTTTCCTATTGGTTTTTGTACAGGTCTCTTAATATTCAGCCTGAAAAAGATTCGTGTTTTAGATGAGAGAGAGGGAGGGTGGGAGATAGTCACTAGACTAGATTTTCTTTGAAGAGATCAAATGCATTCTTGCACAATAAACTAACCAAATTAATAATGTGGCTTTATTTAAAGGCTATTTTCATGACACAGACAATATCCATGATCAGAGTTCTGAAATTCCTGAGGACAAAAGTTCTCCTGCAGATATTTGTTTGGAGAGATTTACTGTGTACGAAAAGACAAATGACCAATATTTAGAAGATAGAAGCCAGCTTCCGTGCCCACATCTGGACCGAAAACGTAAACATTCTGATGAGAACATGCAGAATGATGGAACCCCTAAAGAAAACTTTGTAGAAGAACTGGAAGAAGAATTTGCATCAAAAGCAAAAAAGAAGAAGACCTCTAAAGGTAATCAACCCCTGTTAGTCTGTTTTAAGGCATGGTTTGTGAAATGAATTACATGCCCCTTTATGGCCTTGATTCTGCCAATCCAAAATTCTCCCTGAATGATATTTGGAAATTTGAAAGGTTAAAAACTAGTCATTGGACAATGTAATCATTGGACAATGCAAAGGGCTGTATGCATGCAACCCCTTCCTGAGCTAAATGTTTAAAATGCAAGTATAATGGTGAAGCTGAAAGAATCTGCCCCACAAGTGAACTATAGCTTTTGTTTCAAGTTCAGGGCCTTTTGATTAATTTTTAGTTATTTTTCCATTAGATGACTGGCCTGAGAGGGAAATGACAAACAATTCCTCTAACCACTTAGAAGAGCCCAATTGTAATGAGGTGACCAACCTGAAGGTGTGCATTGAATTAACAGGGCTTCATCCAAAAAAGCAGCGTCACCTGCAGCATCTTAGGGAACTATGGGAGCAGCAGGTATCACCAGAGAGATCCCCACCCGGCAAGTTGGGCCGGCAAAGCAGGAAAGATTTAGCTGAGGCTGTTCAGCCAGAGGCCACTGCAAAGGTCAAAGACTGCACAGAAGAAAGGCACACCAAGAAAAGGTCAGAGGTCAAAAGCAATAGAAGTTGGTCTGAAGAGTCCCTCAAAACAAGTGACAATGAACCAGGTATGCAGAGATTACTAGGGAAATCTAGCATTATTTAGTGACGCATGCTGCCACCAGTGCTAAGAAGTTATCAGTAATGATTTTTGTGGGATAGAATATGATTATAATATAATATAATATAATATAATATAATATAATATAATATAATAATATATTTAATGTAATATATTTCATTGTGTATTATAATATCAGTTGTTACTATGTGAAAGATTTAAGAATTAAATCTTTCGCATAGTAAATTAAATTGTGCTTATTTTGCCAAATTTGTAAAGTGTGATATAGTATTAATTATTTTAAAACCAATATCCTAGATGTTTATGTTTGTGTAGAAACAATCCTGAACAATTTTTATATAATGATTTGAAGGATGATAATGCTCATTTGAAAATGCTTGATTTTATTGTGGAGTTCTTAGTGCTCTGAGCTAATGATGATGATGTTACCTAGTTGGGTAATGAAATGTCCGCAAGAAAAACAACCAAGGACTCCACAATTCAACATATATTTTCTTCTGTTGGTTGATTTTATAAAATATGACTATATCAAATGGGCTAAAATTAAGCCAAGTATAAAATGTTCTGAATTTTTGATCACTCATGGGAATAGGCTGCTCCATTAGGTTTTGAACTTCTGAGCTAAATCTTCATGTTCAGGGAGCTGGGAGATAGAAAGATATCAGCTTTTATCTGATTTATGTTAGAAGAAGTGACAAATGATGTCCTGAATCTCTTGTTCTTTGTGTCTAATTTGTACTGGTAAGGTTCTTTACCACATCTTTCTTTTCTTTCCTATTTAGTCAGTTAGTTTACTTGTGAACTTCATTTTCCAGAAATATAAGGTGCTCCAAAGCAGTTTAGATAAAAAGGTAATAATTTAAATACTGTAAGTAACAACAATAATATACCACTGAAATGCTTGATCACTGGTATTATATCCTTGGGCTGAAATAGATCCCTTTCCTTGGGAAGCTTTCTATCATAAGGGTCCAAAGAAATGTTATACCTGGCTCACTATACCAAGTTCCTATCAGCACAACCACTCGGGAAACTATGCTGCTGCAGTCAAAGAATTTTCCTTGGGGTTTATTCATGAGCTTACCTAGTGGCCCTGAATGAGTTAGACTGCTTGACTCCATTTGAAAGTTGGCACTTTCTGAGCCTCCCTTCAGATTACCTTAAACTACCAACTATCACTCTATAGTTGGTAGCCTAAGATAGCCTGAAGTGAGGCTCAGTAGAGCTAGACCGATATCATAAAAATAAATTGGATTAAGTACCTTAATGTAGAGGAAAGCAATATTTCCTTATCACATTATTGCTAGGTATTTGAGAAGGACAACAGAGAAAACTATAGTGTAATCCGTAGTTACATTTGTGACATAATTTAATAATCTGAAAGGACTCTAATCCTGGCCTTGCTGAGCACTTTTTTTAAAAATTTGATTTATATGCCGCCCTTCTCCGGAGACTCAGGGTGGCTTACAATGCGTTAAGCAATAACCTTCATACTTTTGTATATTTATACAAAGTCAGCTTATTGCCCCCACAGACTGGGTCCTCAATTTACCTACCTTAGAAAGGATGGAAGGCTGAGTCAACCTTGAGCCTGGTGAGATTCGAACTTACAGTAATTGCAGACAGCTGGTGTTAATCACAATGCTTTTAGTCTGCTGAGCCACCAGGCCCTTAACACATTCCTGCCTATTTTGCATAACTTTTTTCAGCTATCATCCCTACCCAGATGTTAAATGCAACCTGTACAGAGGCTGTACAGAGGGTGAACTCAACAAGGTTCTTCTGTTATACCTTCAAAACATGAGTCTGTTTTTATGAATGCTATTTGTGAAAATGTGTTTTCTATCTAGCTAAGAAGTAAAAGAATCCTGTTCTTGCTAGGAGATAAGCAGTTTGTGTTATACTCTTCTTGCCTGTTTCAGTGAATCAGGGCATTGAACATAATGCTTTCCCCCCTCCAGTGAAGTTAGATCTTTGCTTTTCGGAACAGTGTATGTGTTGAGAAGGCTGATTTGCTTTATGTTCCTAAGTTTTAACATCAGGCTATATCTTGTGAAAGTCAGTAAAACCGTAGGCCTATTTTGTAGGGTACTGAGGAGGTTCAGTTCTGCTATTTCAAGTTACTGTGAGTTTTCCTGTCATGTCAGTGTTTCTCCATTCAAATTAAACATATGGAAAATGAACACATGGAAAGCAAATAATTTCCCAGTACAGGTAGTCCTTGGTTTATGACTGGTTGTTTAGCGACCAAAGTCATGACCTATCTGAAAAGAGGAGGATTTACGTAAATGCTGCTGTTTGCTGTGTCCCACGGACACATGATGCATTATGATGGTTTTGCAGGGGTAAAAAAAATGAAGACATGGACTCCATGATGCTTCAAATAGAGATGGTGGGTAGAGGGTAGTGGAAGAACAGATAGAAAAGGTAAGAAAGATAGGATGAATTATAAGAGAAGGCAAAACTATGGTTAGAATGGAATGGGCTGTAGAAGATTATTGGTTGTATGTAAAAAAAATCTTTTGAGAAAAATGAACTATTGGAGTGCACAGATGACCATATTTTTCGGAGTATAAGATGCACCTTTTCCCTCCCTAAAAGTGGGTGAAAATTTAGGTGCATCTTATAGACCGAATACGGGCGTTTTTGGCCTCCCGAATCCTCCGTGTGTCACGTTTTCACCCTCTCCTCCCTCCAGAAGCATTCTGCAGTGCTCCGCACAGCCCATTTTCACAAAAGGGCCCGGTTTTGGGCTCCCAAGTCCTTTGTGTGTTACATTTTCACCCTCCTGGGCCCCCAGAAACACTCTGTAGTGCTCCGCACAGCCCATTTTCACCAAAAATTGGCTCATTTTTGCCAAAAACAGGCCTATTTTTGGGCTCCCAAGCCCTCTGCGTGTCATGTTTTCTCCCTCCCAGGCCCCCAGCAGCACTATGCAGTGCACTGCATGGCCCATTTTTGCCAGAAACAGAGTCGTTTTTGGTCAAAAGGGCCATGCGGAGCACTGCAGAGTGCTTCTGGAGGTCAGGGAGTGAGAAAACACGACGCACAGAGGCCAAAAACTATTTTTTATTGTTTTCCTCCTGTAAACTTAGGTGCGTCTTATAGTCTGAAAAATACGGTATGTTCCAGGTGTGAAAAAGAACAATTGATTGTATTTGAAGAAAATTGTAGGTTGTAAGCAATGTGCTTTAGCGGCTCAGACCATTATGTTTTAATAGGGTTCCTGGGAAAATTGTTTGCTTTTTTAGGTTTACCTGTTTTTCATTTTTGTAAAGAGAGTTTCTGGTGGAACAAAACCTGGATTCATCAGAATGGGGTTTACTTTTGGGTCTAAGACAAGACCCCAGCTCTTCTCCACATTATATTTCTTTGCAGAACTTGCATGTCTGAGTCATGGTAATCATTGTGTGGTGCCACTTTCAAAATTCTAGATTTGGCCAGTGTCTTAAAAATGTTGCAGGCCTTTGAAATATGCATATGAATATTTCTAAAAGAAACCTTTAGTCATTCATTTAGTTCAGGGATTACTAGCAGTAATGAATTGTTTTATATTGAAAATATGGCTATGGGACATATTTGCTTGTTGTCACATTTTTCTCATGTATCAGGCAATCAGGTTTTCAGGCATCGATAGCAGAATATCGTGAAACATAGAACTGTGGAATTTTTTCTTGAGAAGTTATCAATGGGACACTGTATTTTGATTCCAGTTAGATTAAGTACATATAGTATACCTACAAAAAACCCTGATGTTCTCAGAAAAGGTTAGGTGCTTTCTATTGTTTAGGCAGAAAAAGTAAGCTATTTATTTATAGTAATTTTACATAGATACATGGCTAACTATCTGGATCCATGAAACCATTTCAAAATGCTGTCATCTTCATATGCAAAGGGATAATTTTCAAAGGCAAGAATGAGAATTGGATATTTAAATGCCATTTCTGCTTTTGGAAATCATCTGCATCTGTTTACATATTGCTCTGTTAAAAACAAACTCTCAAAGTGAAAAGGTTCACCAGTTCTATACCTAAAAGAGCAATATATTCCCATTTTAGCATCATGAAGTTACAGGTAAGGAAATATCTTCTCCTGTTCGTATCCAAAGCAGTAACTTGAAAAGGTAGACTGGCGTAGTACTAATTTGTCATCATTTCTGTGATGTGGTATCTAAATTGTGGGATTGCTTATTGTCCTTTATCTAAATCAGATTAGAAAACATTGCTTAGAAGTTACAACAATTCATTCTATATAATATTTGTTTTAACAGTTACAGTTAAAATGTGTATTTGTTTAAAAATAGTAATGTAATACATATATAAAGATTAGTACTTTTAAACAATGCAAGGACTTGTACTGAATGTTCGATATGTATTTATCTTCCCATTCAACATGCTGTACAGTGTGCAATGCCTTTCCTTCCATGTAGGTATCCCTCTGTTCCCAGTGTCCTCACATATGAAGAATATCTCCACCAATATAAACAGCAAAAGGCAAACTCAGCCAAGCTATACTTTGACTTCAAGGTTGGCTGCCAAGCAGCAGAAAATTAAAGAAAACTGGAAGACAGATGGGCTGTGCTTGGATGAAGAAGAGGATTTTCAGGCTGCATCCCTGTTGCAGAAACACAGCGAGTGTGAGAAGCCGCCAGGGAAACGTCAGTGTAAAACAAAACATTTGGCACTGCAGGAGAGGAGAACAAGGTCATCCTTGACTGGAGATGACATAACAGATATTGAAAGCATTGAGGAGAAGGTATCTTTTTATCATGACTCAGTTGCCATTACTATCAGATTGATAAAATCACCCAGATTAAATTCTTAAACATCTCCTTTTTGCATTAACTTGGGGTTCATTCAGCTTTCTCCTAGGACAAATTACATGATTTCATGGAAATCTTGTACATTGATGTAGAACTTTTAAGAACTTTTTACCGTAATTGAGAAGATGGCACTACCATTCACTTTTTTAAAAAAGGAAAGATTTTCAATAAATTATTGAGGATTGATGGAATGAGGTACGGAATTCAGTGAAGATTTTGACAGGTTAAAGTTAATAAGAATCTGAAATCAACTAGAGGCTCCTTCAGATTAGATTCTTCACCACTCAAATCACTTAGGTGCAAACTGTATGATTGCCTGCAGCAGCAGCAGACTCCTCATTATTGCCTTTTTTCAGCCCTCACAGCTGCAGATTGCAAGTACACCTCAGGAGATTGCCCCAAGTCGTCCCATGCCCCCAGAAGCTCGAAGACTTATTGTCAATAAGAATGCTGGAGAAACACTTCTGCAAAGGGCAGCACGACTGGGATATGAGGCAAGCATTGTTTCTGAAGATCACTATTTTGAATTAGAATATAGAAGATGTTTGGTGTCACATATGATTCTAATTGCTCATATGTTTAAGAATCTGTATTCCCTCTCAATAACTTGAGACCCTCTGATTTGGTTTTTCATTCAAGCATGCGATTAATGCATTTTGTGAGTGGGTTTAGGAGAAAAACCATATAAATCCATATAATTTAATAACCTGCAATTTGAATTAGGTGCCTGTCATTGCCAGTAAGAATTCAGAGTATGGTGTACTTTGCAAGATTGGAATCTTGTATAAAGTAAGGATAGAGTTAAGAGATCTGAATATCTTTGCTGCATTTATAAAGGATTAGTGATTTGCCTTATTTTCACAGTCTAAGCATGCTGCATTTTAAGATTGCTTTAAACATTACGTTATTGGTACACTGTATATAAATACATTTTGGGAGTCATTTCACACTTTGGACAAATATAGAGTCCTTGGAGCCAGTTAGTATTAGGAGATACACATTGCAATGGACTATGGATTCCACTCAGAACGTGAAAATACAATATCTGAAGTGTGTTTGTCTCTTTGTGTGTAAATGTTCTACATTTTAAGACATTGGTCATGTTTTGTAAAAACGATATATGTTAAATGTCAAGTTGGACAAAGTTCTGATACAGCTTATTTATTAAATGTTTCAACTGAAGCTCTGATGCAGCCAAAAAAAGGCAAAGAACAGAAAAGAGGTTATATACATCTTAATCAGAAGCAAGAAACCTAATATGTTCCTTAATAGGTGAATCTTATTTCATACCTAGGATTTTAATTTTTAAAAATGACTTTCTCTTGCTGAAAGAGATTGAGGAGAGGTTTGTTATGAAAGCCTACATTGAGAGGCTAGGTAATGTAGCAAACCTAGATCCAAATATTTTGTGACACACAAAATATCCAGCTTCCTATGTGGCAAGGTGGTCTGACACCTTATCAATCCAGAGGTTGCATGAAAAATATGTTTCTGGCTTTAGATTTATTAGGTTGGACAGCCACTTAGTCATTTTTCTTAGGTATAATTAAATGTTATTGTATACTTCATTTTATCAAAAAGAGAAAAGGGGAAATCTGAAAAAGAGGGAGAGAAATATAAACCCCTGTTGCATTCAAACACATACTAGCACAGACTGCAATCTTGGTAATGGTTTAACTTTATCCTAATAAGGCAATATACCCTGAATATCAGTGGTGAAATCCAAATTTTTTTCCTACCGGTTCTGTTGGCGTGGCTTGGTGGGTGTGGTGTGATGTGGCTTGGTGAGCTTGGCAGAGGAAGGATACGGCAAAATCTCCATTCCCACCCCACTCCAGGGGAAGGATACTGCAAAATCTCCATTCCCACCCCATTCTGGGACCAGCCAGAGGTGGTATTTGCTGGTTCTCCGAACTTCTGAAAATTTCTTCTACTGGTTCTCTGAATTGCTCAAAATTTCTGCTACCAGTTCTCCAGAACCTGTCAGAACCTGCTGGATTTCACCCCTGCTGAATATCTAAATTTTATAAATTTGTCTACGTTAAATCAAGCAGGACTGGTAAGCAGTTCAAGAAAACTCAATGATCTACCTAATTGACTGGCTACCAAACTGATAAAGGTTAATTTCAGGAACTGTGGAAAAAGACTTGGAATTGAAAGATAGTTAAGAATGCCATCCTTCATCTTTTTTGTTCTATTAGCATTGAGGTTAGTCATGGGAAACCAGCTCTGGTTGTTTACATCAAAGTGATAGACCAGCCAGCAAGTATATAGTATTGCAAATGCTTTTAAATCCAGACAAGAGTATCAGTCTGGGATCCTATTGCTTATGAAGTAATCTAGACAATCACTAAAAATGAGGAAATTTTCATATTGGGAGTATGATGCCTGTTTTGGTAAGACCCATGAATATAATTCCTCACTTACAGTATATCCTCAGCTGGTAATTCATCTAATTGTGCCTAGCTCCCAACAAAAAAAGGAGGAAATTCTTTTCTCCCTACTTGGGATAAGGGTTGAGTGGGAAATGGGAAAGGAGTGGAGTAAACTGGGTAATGGGCAAAGAAAAAATAAGTTAGCAGCGTAGACCTAGGGAGTGTAAGAGTCCCTTTCACAAAGAAATCCCCCATGGACTCTCAAAATGACAGTGCTTTTGCTTGCAAGAATGTATGAGATATCATGAGAAGGCAAAAAAAGAAGAGGGAGGTCTTAGTCTTTAATTGTTTGTTTATTTTTGTATCCACTGTTTATCAATGTGATGTTAATGAAGGGACATTGCAAAATCCATTTTCTCAAACCTGCTCTGGTACTTGTTTTTGAACCCTTGGTTGTTGGGTTTTTTTTTTGTGCCAAGGGTGGCAAAGGTCAACAAGTGAATACAAAGTTGTATGGGTTTTTAAAAAATTTATATTCCCCCTGCACTCAGAGGTATAGATATTTGATTGAAGACAGCATGTGATTGCAGCAAAAGGAAAAAGATGGGATCAATTGTTACAGGTCTTCCTGGTCTAATAGAACATTGAGATTGCCAGCTATTGGAAAAGCTAATTCTGAACTTCTGTTTCCTTTTAACACCATAATGCAACAATAAGAATTTAATATCTCCTTATTCATGCATGTGATGCCATATTAAACGAATAACTATTTGAACTTCTGTTGATTACTGCAGTACAAAACTGCTGCAAGTGAAAATCTTGCCTGATTTCCTAAAATCTAGGTGGCTTAATTAATTCAAAATATATTCTGTGAGGTTTAAGTGAAAATAAAGGACAGTGCTGAAGGTCTTTAGTGAATAAACAGTAACAAATATCAAATTAAAATTCTCTTTGAAGCAGATGTACTTGAATGCACAGTTTGAAGGAAGAGGGAGAGCAATTTGAAGGCGGTGGCTAGGTGATAATACATTTGGATCTGCTGTATCTGTCTCAGTTTGCACTTCTTCTCTTCCTCCATGTATATCAACAACCAACAAGCTTGTGGCAATAAAGGACAATATTTTTTTAAAAAACCAAAAAGATTGAGGTAATTTGACTGTTGCTTAATGTCAATGTTTATCTTTCCATGACTAGAGCTCTATTCTGCAGAAAAGAGACCACTGGATACACTATGGAAAACATACATGCCTCTTTCTGTGTAAACTGAGCTGCTGTCAAACCTGGAGTTGAACCTCATATCATCTTAGTTTGCAGATAGAATAGAATACTTTATTGGCCAAGTGTGATTGGACACACAAGGAATTTTTCTTGGTGCATACGCTCTCAGTGTACATAAAAGAAAAGATACATTCATCAAGAATCATAAGGTACAACACTTAATGATAGTCATAGGGAAACAGATGCAGCCTTTTGAGTGGCCTTTCACAACGTTACATGGAAATGCTTAACAATAAAACTCTTGATAATGAATCAATCAGAAAGAATACAACCAATTTTTCAGATTCTCATTTTCTTCATCTCTTGAGTATAATTTGACAAGGAATAAGTTAAGGGACTTTGAAAAATTGTATGTTATAATAAGTTGAGCACTTTTTAATTAAAGAAATATTCATGTAAATGTGTTTTTTCAGCATTCCCTGCTGTACACTACAGGAACATGCTAGCAAAGACAGTGAATTGTAAGTATTTAGGTAAAGGTAATGGATAGGCTTGTAGAAACAAAATTGGAGATGTCTTTTGTGGTCTCCCCCAAGAATTGGATTTACCTTCTGGAATATGTTGTAATGTTTGATCTGCAGAGTTTGTGCACCACCAGGAAACTGGCAGCAAAAGCTTTGCATTTTCCTATAGGTGTCTTACCTTTCTGGATACTGTTTTTGGAACCTCCCTTTTAGAACTTTTCTTTCCTATCACTGCCTCACTGTAAAGGAGAATTTCCAGAGTGAAAAATTCCCCCTCCCCACCTATTTTCTTTAAGTGAAAAACCAATTTTAAAGGTGTCTCCATAGTAACAAACAGGGTTTTTTCCCTTCCCCACCCTTTCCATCTTTCTCCAGGAAGTGATTCTGTTTTGTGTGGAAGACAAGGTCTGTGATGTAAATCACTGTGACAAGTCTGGCTGTTATATTGTAAAGAGACTTTAGTTATGTTTATTCTTTTAGTGATTTTCTTTGCTGGCTTGAGCTGAGGCTGTACACAGAATACTGTGCAGAGCCATATTTAGGAATATGGACATGGAAATAGTCTACTTAAAACGTCAGTGGAGACTATCTAGTGGAACTGCTTGTGTGTCTGTTGATCTTTTTCTTATTTCACTTTCTAATCGTTGAATCACTATTTTAAATACATTTTTGTTTGTATTACATGTTTTGAAAATGAAGAAAAATGCATATTTTTAAAAACATAAACCTAACTTATTAAATGCTAAATACTACATTTGTTGTGCTCCTTTTAGCTCATTCTAGAATGACCTCTGTATGGCCACTATCAGAATGAGTGTTTATTAACATAAAAACATATATTAGGAAATAATTATTTATGTTTCTTACTGATTTTGACACAGGCATGTACTCTCTATGATAAGAAGTATTTTATAGCTTTTGGATTATGACAATTCTGATGAAAATATAAATAGGTCAGAAAGGTATAATAATTGTAATTTCTAAGCAAGCTTTTGGCATTTTGTTCAGGGCTCCTATTTTCATATTCAAACTAGTTATGTGCTATCAATCAGCGAGGGTGATGAAGGCAGGTCTTGAGAATGTTATCTGGGATGAGTTTGATCCTGTGACCCCAGATGACGTGGACAGGATTCTGGGTAGATTGAACGCGACCACATGTTTGTTGGACCCGTGTCCCTCCTGGTTAGTGCTGGCTTCCTGGGAGGTGACGCGAGGCTGGCTCCAGGGGATTATAAATGCTTCATTGGGTGAGGGTGCCTTCCCTGCTGCCTTGAAGGAGGCGGTGGTGAGGCCTCTTCTCAAGAAGCCCTCCCTGGACCTGGCAGTATTGGCTAATTATCGTCCAGTCTCCAACCTTCGCTTTGTGGCGAAGGTTGTTGAGAGTGTGGTTGCGCGACAGCTTCCCCAGTACCTGGATGAAACGTCGTATCTGGATCCATTCCAGTCGGGTTTCAGGCCTGGGTACAGCATGGAAACGGCATTGGTTGCGTTGGTTGATGATCTCTGGAGGGCTCGGGACAGGGGTACTCCTCTGTCCTGGTCCTGTTAGATCTCTCAGCGGCTTTTGATACCATCGACCATGGTATCATGCTGCACCGGTTGGAAGAGTTGAGGGTGGGAGGCAGCATACTACAGTGGTTCTCCTCCTTTCTCTCTGACCGGTAGCAATCTGTGTTGACAGGGGGGCAGAGGTCGACCCCGAGGCCCCTCATATGTGGGGTGCCGCAGGGATCGGTCCTCTCGCCCCTTTTGTTCAACATTTATGTAAAGCCCTGGGTGAGATCATCCGTGGTTTCGGGGTGAAGTACCACCAGTACTCTGACGACACCCAGCTGTAAATCTTCACCCCGGACCACCCCAACGATGCCCTTGAAGTGATGTCCCGGTGCCTGGAGGCCATACGGATCTGGATGGGGAGAAACAGGCTCAGGCTCAACCCATCCAAGACCGAGTGGCTGTGGTTTCCGATGTCCTGATAGAGTCAGCTGGTGCCATCGCTGACTATTGGGGGTGAATCATTGGCCCCCACGGAAAGGGCTCGCAACTTGGGCGTCCTCCTGGATTCATGGCTGCCTTTAGAAGAGCACTTGACGGCCATGACCGGGAGGATTTTTCATCAGGTTCGCCTGATCCGCCAGTTGCGTCCCTTTCTAAATCGGGACTCTCTACACATAGTCACTCATGCCCTCGTCACCTCTCGTCTGGACTATTGTAATGCTCTCTACATGGGGCTCCCCTTGAGGTGCACTCGGAGGCTCCAACTGGCACAGAGTGCGGCCGCGCGGGTGGTTATGGGAGCGACGTGGAGTTCCCATGTAACACCTCTCCTGCGCGAGCTGCACTGGCTCCCAGTGGTCTTCCGAGTGCGCTTCAAGGTTCTGGTTATCACCTTTAAAGCGCTCCATGGCTTAGGACCTGGTTATCTACGGGACCGCCTGCTACCACAAATAGCCTCCCACCGGCCAGTACGCTCCCATAGAGAGGGGCTCCTCTGGGTGCCGTCGGCCAAACAATGTTGACTGGCGGCCCCTAGGGAGAGACCCTTCTCTGTGGGGGCACTTATGATCTGGAACGAGCTCCCCCCGGAGATACAGAGGATCCCGGATCTGCACACCTTCAGTCGCGCGCTTAAGACTTTTTTATTTCATCAAGCTGGCCTAGCCTAAATCTTCTCCCCCTTTTAAATGTAAATTTTAATTTGTTTTTAAATTTTAGGGTATTTTAAATTTGTTCAGCCAAATTATTTAATTTGTTTTTATTTTATTTTAAATTTTTGTATTTATGTGTTTTATCTTGTGGCTGTTCACCGCCCTGAGTCCTTCGGGAGAAGGGCGGTATTGAAATTTAATAAAATAAATAAATAAATAAATCACATTTTTGAAATTCAATACACAAGGCTGAAATCTCTATGAATTAAATAAATCATAATTAAATAGTGTATTTAATTAATGAATAATAAAACTCTATATTGCTATGTTTTGTGGTGAATGACTTTGGATAAAATCCACTGGGAACTTGACCAGTTCAGTGGTGAGAAGCTGTATGCAGAATGGGTGCTGTCTTTCAGGAACTGTTGTGCAGATTAAATGAATGAGTTTAAACGAGAGAAAAATCTGACAAATTTCTCTCTTACACATACTTATTTATTATTACATTTATTTACTAATATAGGCAAATACCATACTGTTCATGGATTAATGCCAACTAATTCTAAGTGTTATCATAATGTATACTTTATGCATAAGATACCAAATTTTAGGACTGTCATCTAAATTATCTCAGAAAAATTGTAAACGCTTTCCTGAAACCTTGAAAAATGTGTGGTAGCCTTCTGCGTCTTAAGTTCTACCATTTGTTTAGTCCTCTATGCCTCCATAGTGTGATCAGTTATTGGGAATGATGGAGATTGTAGGCAAAGCAATAGTAGTGAACCAGTTTGTGAAAGGTTGTTGGAGTAGATTTAGGGAGAGATATTCCAATTCTATTTTAGATCAGTACACAATTAGCTATTGTCATATATAACACCTTATGCCACAATAATATCTTCAGAAATTAGAGGAAATGTTGAAGTTAGCAGTGATCTTAACAAATTTGATGGCATCACACCAGTCTTCCACTAGAGATTTTTAAACCATTATAGCCAAATTGAGGAGGATGTACTACAGGTGTTCTGACCTGTGAGCTAGGTCAGGGGAGTCAAACTTGCGTTGTCATGGCAGCGTCACAGACTTCCCCCCCTTCGCTAAACTGGGCGTGGCCAGCACGTGACGCATCTGGCCCATGGGCACGGGTTTGACAGCCCTGAGCTAGGTGATACTCATGGTCTGAAATTTCCATACTTGGCAAGAATTGTAACCAAATGAAACCTTGCAACTAATTGATTGTTGTGCAAATTCTTTCTTTCAAAATACAGGATAAAGATTTTCCATTCATTGATCTTAATTGACAAGTGATCTTTATCTCCATGAAATCTCTCAAGTCAATAATAAAATATTAAGGGAAATCCCAATAGATAGAGTGGTTTACATCAGTGGTGGGATTCAGCCTGTTCGCACAACTTCGGGAGAACCGGTTGTTAACTTTCTGAGCAGTTTGGTGAACTGGTTGTTGGAAGAAATCATTAGGGCAGAGAACCGGTTGTTAAATTATTTGAATCCCACCACTGGTTTACATGTTATTTCACAGTGGATTTCTATTTGGATCTAGCAGGCACAGAGGAATGGTGATGCATCTTGGTATATCTTTAGTCCTGGGAATACAGTAGAAGCAAGGGGGAAAACCCCCAAAATGATGGTTCCCTGCCTTGATATGTGGCACAAAACTGAAATTCAGAAAATTTTGCATGTCATTAATTAAGATATGATGCAGTGGAAGAGGTTTGCATAAATAGAAGTGAAACTAAATATACTCTTAAAAGTCTGAAGAGATTTTTGCCCCAGAAAAAAATTCACTATATAAAAAAACCCTGCATCCACATTGTTTCTTCTGTTAGAGTGAAAAACAATTTTTCCTTGTAAATTAATCTACCCCACTATTCTTCTACATTTATTTGTATGGTAACTCTTGAAATTGTTAAATATCTTGAGCCCCAGTTTTGTTTGAGATATCTCAGTCTTCCTTCTGGGCTAATCCCTGGCTTTCTTTTTCAATCATTTGACTTTATCTGAGATGAGAACTATGTAGTAGCTTCTTTCTTTCTTTTGTAACTCGCTAATAGTCCAATCAGAGAAGTATTCCCAGAATGTTAAAAGTAAATGATATGCATATTTTCACAACAACAAACAATTTGCTCTGTTTTCTTTTTTTTTTCAGGAAGTGGTTCTATATTGTTTGGAAAACAAAGTCTGTGATGCAAATCATCGTGACAATGCTGGTTATTGTGCCCTACATGAGGCCTGTGCCAGAGGTTGGCTGAGCATTGTGCGACATCTCCTAGAATATGGAGCAGACGTCAACTGCAGTGCTCAGGATGGAACTAGGTTAGCAATTCTAGTTAAGCTAAATCTAAAACTTCTGTGCTTCAGTATTGTATTAATATATAGTGGGATTACTGTTACATCTAACTTGTAATCTTGTTTAGAGAAATGGCATATTTCTCCCAAAAGGTTTATATTGTATACAGTAATTGCTTTGGTCCTTGTATACTATTCAAAAGTTGATATGACAACATGGTGTCACTACTTGGTACATTTTGGCTGCAAGACTATATCATCAACAGCAAAAAATCCTTTGATTTTTTTTGTTGTTTCTTCAAGTCTGTGTTGACTGCTAGTAACTGCCTGGACAAGCTTCTGCAGTTTTTCATGGCTAGATTCAGAAGTGATTTGCCATTGCATGCTTCCTATGTTGAGAGAAAGAATGAATGTCACAAAGTCAGACAGCTAAGGTGGGATTAGAATTCACTATCTCCAGCTTTCTAGCCTGAGGCCTCAACCACTGCATCAAACTGTCTCATATGACTCCTTTAAATACTAATAAAAATACAAAGTTTAGACAACCGTAAAATTCAAATTTTTACTAATCATAAGGAAACAGGCAGTAAACATGCTTTCTCACACAAGATTTTTTAAATTTTTAGATCATTCCTTTTACATTACTATTCATTAAACTTCATATTTTGTTATGCAAAGTTCATCTTTTCTAAAGCAATTTAGTTGTGTTTATTTTTTAAAAGTTCTATAATGATGATGGATATATTCTTTGAGTTCTTCTGTTTGAATGTTTTATCACTTATCACCTTATCTGGTAACTCAGCTCTGAATTAGCATGTCTGAAAGCCATTGGCATTTGAATAGAACTTGCAAAGATTTCAGGAAAAAACCAACCCTTTTTAAAAACTTCTGAGCAGACTTTGTCACCTCATTGATTCTGTAGAGACATTTTGAATATTTGTTTCTTCCATTAGCTAAGTAAAGAAAGAAAATAATGAGAAAAGGTACACATACTTCCACATTGAGAGATTTTTAAAAACCAAGCAGTCAGACCTTTATTTTAATAAGATCACTTTACTCAGTAAGCCATAGAAATTTTTGTAGCATGTGGTATAAACACAAAATCATGGCTCAAAAAGTAAATTTTCTTCATTCATTGTACCTTTTTTTTCATTCCTTGAATTCATAATGTGCAACATTCCTATCATTAATTTCTTTTACTAAGGATGTTACTGTTAAATCTATGGGGATTATTTGTATGGTCAGACACTGAAGTTCATCTTGTAATAAGTGGCAGATTCTATTGTAGTTTACCTTCATCTGCCCTTTGTAATGTACAGCCAGCAGCCAGTGGATTAAAAACAGATTGTACCCTTTCTGTATGATTCTGCTATTTTTCACTGTTTGTTGTGCTACCTTTGTCCCCAAACTAGATCAGTCAAATCCGTAATATTATTTATACACCACATATTCACACAGGTGTACAGACATATTCCATATTCAAAGCTACCCTTGAAGTGTATTTGGAAGTTATAACTGGGACAAAATATATCAGCACGGACAGTTATGGAGGCCCCTCAGGTGGCACATATGATATCACTGTCACGTGAGCTACACTGGCTACCAATTTGTTTCTGGGTCCAATTCAAGATGTTGGCTATTACCTTTAAATCCCTTTATGGCATGGGTCTAGGGTATCTGACGAACCATCTCATCCTAATGGGAATTCACCTCACTCATTCAGAAATACTTTCGGATTCTGTTGGCCAAATAATTTCAGCTGATGGAATCCAAGAAAAGAGCCTTTTCTGCTGTAGCCCCCACTCTCTGGAATATTCTCCTCTTGTAGGTAAGGTATGCCACACACTCCTGGCCTCTGGAAGAGCCTAAAAATATAGCTCTACTGTTTGGCCTGGGGCCCTGACAGGTGTCTACTATGCTGGAGGTGGCTGATGGGGTAGAGAAGATTCTCACTATTGGGTCTCCCATCATCTTGGTTTTTAACTTTTTAATTTCTCTATTCAATTTTTCCAATTTTAACTTTTGAAAGCACGTTTGCATTGTTTATTTATATTGTAAGCTGCCCAGAATAACTGAACCAGTGAGATGGACAGCATAGAAATGTAACAAACAAAACTAAAGAAAACATAACAAAACAAAACACTGTTTGGACACAGGATAGATTGAACACAGAATCCATAGATGTTGCCACAGTAGAAGATACAGATTAAGATCCTGGAAATAGGCTGCAAATAGAGTTATCATGATCGATGGAAAGCAATATGTCTGAACTCTATTTTGGCAAATTTAATATTAAATGCACTTAAGACAAAATAATTTTGGCAATAACGTTAACAACTCCCGGCTTAACTACTGTTTCTAAAATATTTTAGCATTCTCACCCGATCTTTCTTTTTTTATGGACACAGTCAGAATAGCATCTCAGGCTTATATAACGCACGCACGCACGCACGCACACATACACACACACACACACAGAGAGAGAGAGAGAGAGAGAATGTATATATACATGCACATATATATAGTCATAAAATTTGGTATTAAGTCCTACCCATATTCTCCATGAATTTATCTAATCTTCAAAAGCCATCCAAGTAACAAATCATTTAATTTTAAGCACTAAATTCTACATTTCAAGCATCAGCTTAATGAAGTAGTGCTTCACTATTTCCTCATTGGCACTGGACTCTAGTATTAAAAGAAACATATACTGCATATAATTTTATATACACCTCTATGAAGTCCTTCTTTAATTGCTTTTTTCTAAGCTAATAAACCCAAACTTTCAAAGAAGGGAATTTGCTTTGGCCTACTGCTTATTTTTGTTTTCCTTTTCTACATTTTCTCTACCTCTGCAATTTCCACATAAAAATAAGTATTGTACAAATTTATATTTTCAGTTAAGATACATAGTTTCATTTTACAGACTAAACATTCATAAGACGAAAACATTCAGCTCCTTCTGAACAAGGAGTAAGCAAAGTAGAGTGATTGAATTTTTTTCTGGTTAGTTACTGCAGGAATTTTTCCTGCCCCTTTTGTATCTTTGATTAAAGGTACAGAATTATATTTCTGGTAGAGAATTTGTCAATCTCTTACCCATTTCATGATTGAGGAAAGGAATCCAGAGCTCGTGCATCTTCAACAAATGCCTATCAATTATCTGAAAATCTTCAAGAAATCTTCCTGCATTATAGACTGCTCTTACTATTAAAAACCTCAATCAATTGTTCAGACTTGTAGTTTGTAACCCAGATATGATACTTAAGTAAAAAAAAATAATTAACAGTATGCACTAGACAACCCTCACCTTAATGATATGCTTCTGTTTCTATAAACTGAGAAAGGCAATTCTAGAGGGTAAGACAAGGAAGGAATTATTGAGTATTTCAGATAATCTTATGGATTATTTGTCATCTATAATCAAAACAGAATTAGGGATATAAAACTTGATTTGCAACTCCAGCATTGGGCCTACATTGTATTTTGTGACATTTCTTCAGTATTTTCTCCACTTAGCATACTTTATTAATTAAATTGCTAGTAGAAATACATTTCTCTGTTTTCTTGTGCTCGCACTATAGGATTTTAGTTACCGTGTGTTTCTGGTAATTTTAGAGAATGGGGAGATGGCTAAAACTGAAATGGGAAACTAGAATTATACTTTTCTGCCTCATTAATTTTTTTTACCCACTTTTTGTTATGTGACTTCTCTGTATTCTGTTGTTTTTTTGGTTGAATGTTATTGCTTGTTACTTCACTTGTTCAACATTTCTATTTAAGACAGGAGTATGCTGAAATATACTTTTAGAGTTTTACTCTGCTGTATTCTGTTTCATGACATTAACAGCTAATGTTTGTAAGAAAAATTATTAGCTGGCATGCATTTCTTGTGACTGGGTTTCATCTAATATATTGCAAGAAAAAAATCACTTGAGTCATTTAAACTATCTTATCTGTTAATTAGCTCATTCATTGAAAATGAAAATGAATTAAGCCAAGGGCACAATACTGGATACCTGATTTAAATAACATTTGCACAGTTTATGAAGACAACAGTAAGTTGGGAAGCATCTGAGTATGCACCATGTCTTTTCTTGATCTCTTGAGTTTAGTATAGTGTTTGCAAAAGAGATTGGGCAATGAGTACTATAGAATAAACTGGATGCCCTCAGCAGCTGAGAGAGAATGCAGTTTTGTAGGCTTTAGGATGAGTGAAGGTGCTGCCTAGAAGGGACAGCCACTTTCAAAAGTGATGTGATTTCTGCAGGCAGGGAGCCAAGAAGAGATTAAAACTATCAGGTTCCATAATCTTAAGGATAGCTCTCACAGCAGAGTTTTTCAGCATTTTTTCTATGTTTATGTAGAGCTGGTGTATGTACCTTGTAGTACTGATGTATTCAAAACTAAATCAGGGAAATGTATGTTTTTGTTTAAAGACTGGGATTTGGGCATATACAACTGGAGTTGTACAGATTTGTTCTATGAGTCTTTTATTGGAAGAGGCATAACCGAAATGGCTAAATGCCTTGTTTTTCCTCTATTCCTTTCAACATTGATAACAATATTAAATTTGTTTACAAGTAAGATTTCCAAGACATCCCAATTCTAAGGGACCAGGCAACTAATAGAATTAATACCAAAAGGTATAAAACAACAGGCAGAAGAGAGGGAAATGTTTGTTATTCCAGTAGAACAAAACACACACAAGCAATCAATAAAACCCCACATGTAGAGAATCTATGTCCCACTTGTAGCCCACAGTTTGGGGGAAAAGTCATATTCAAGGCATTCTTAAAGGAAAGCAGGCTGGGCCATTTAAATCTCTGGGGACTAGAGGGCAGGCACTGCAACAGCAGTGGCACACCCTCTGAGTCCCATTAGATGACATTATTTAATGGGATCCAGAGTTTGCTGTTTGTATTTGATCTTAGGGGCAGGCAGAAACAAGGGAGAAAGATGGTCCATTAAATAACTACCTCTTGCATTACCATGTAAGGATTTGTAAACAGCAAACATCTTCTACC